TATATATATATATAAATATATGTACGTGAGTTGTTTCATTGAAGAATTAAATTATGCTAATTAACTGCTAATTAACTCTCATCTATAATAGAATTTTCCCTTTGCATTGCAACCATCAGTAGGATTAATTAAATTTTACGAGATGATTAGCTGTTAATTAGAGGGACTGATTTGTTGCATGGATATTGATCCGGACAGCGAAGTGGCTGTAGTGTTCGAAACTATACTATCGCTTATTGGAATCTTAAATGGACCGCAAGTCTTCCCACGAAATAATTTTAATAGCATTTCTTTGATCTTCCTTCTACACACAAATACAATGAAGATGATGAAACCTTGCAAGGCATTTATGACGTCGGTGAGATGCCAGATGATCGCTGGCACAATATTGGTACCGATTACCCACGATAATATCTCCAAAATCCAAGTTATTCCCATCACTATGAACAGCTTCAAGTACATATTAAACCTGTGAGGAAATATATTTTTGTATTGTTTATAGTTTCAATTGTGACTATAAGATATATTAATAAAATGTAGAATATTTTTTGGGTATTAAACATGAAAAAAAATGCTTTTTTTATTATTAATTTTACACATTGTTAATAACAATAATATACAATAGTAAACAATCTTAGGCATCTTAAAAAAACAATAAGCTAAATTTCAATCACAGAATTTCAAAATTTCTCCTAAAAAATATTTAAGAAATGCAATATTAACGTTTTATATATATATATATATATATATATATATATACAGTGACTCGCATTAACATTCGGACATCATCCAAAATTCCATCAATGAAACTTCACCCATTCCTTTTCATAAAATACAACTCCAAATCATTAAACTTCCACCGCCGTGTATCATAATTGGTTTCAAATTTTTTAGTTTGAATTCTTCGTTTGCTTTTCGCCATATCATTTTCCGTTCGTCAGATCTAAAAATGTTAAATTTGCTCTCATCAGCGAATATTATATCATTCTACCATATTTGTTCTTTAGAAATAAATTCCTTGGTGAAAATTAATCATTTCTTCTGATTCGCTTCATTTATGAATGGTTTTTTACAAGTAACTCTACCGTTGTGACCATTTTCTTTTAATGACGAACTGTATCAGGATGTACCTTCTTGTTAGTCTCTTCGTATAATTCTGAGTCAATTTTGTAGCACCTAATCCAGGACTTACTTTTATTTTCCAATTAATTTTACATTTATCCCATAAGTCAAGTAATTTTGGACATCCTTTCTGAGGTATTGATTCAATACGATCTTCACGAACATCTTTTTACAATATCTGCTATTCGTACTCTTACTCAAATTTATTATTAAATGTACAACTTTGCTTCCGCCGTTTTCCTATAGATGGCTTTAGCGGTAAGTGTTGGTCGAAATAAATAGATCATAGACGTCATACAATAAACTTGGACATCTGTCAACATAACCCCATAGAAACATTAGTCGATTTGTGTCTGCATCATAAAGTTATTCTCGATTGAAAATGTCAGTTTACGAGCCAAATTCTCGTCATTTGCGGGAAGTTTTAATTTTTTGCTTCAATATGAAGAAAATCTGCGGCTGAAGCTCATCGAATGCTCTCAAATACTTATTTTTTATTAATTATTAAGTATAATTTTATTTATTATTAATACGGTGAGGCCGCTATTAGTGAAAGAACGTGTCGTGAGTGGTTTCAACGCTTCAAGAACGGTGATTTTGACGTCCAGGTCATGCTCTGTATTTGGTGGGACCAGCTCGGCGTAGTGTATTATGAACTGTTAAAACCGACTGAAACAATCACAGGCGATTGGTATCGAACGCAATTGATGCGTTTGAGCCGAGCATTGAAAGACAAACGGCCGCAATACAACGAGAGACACGATAAAGTGATTTTGCAGCATGACAATGCTCGACCCCATGTTGCGAAAGTGGTCAAGACATACTTGGAAACGTTGAAATGGGAAGTCCTACCCCACCCGCCGTATTCTCCAGACGTTGCTCCCTCTGACTATCACTTGTTTCGATCAATGGCACACAGCCTGGCTGACCAGCACTTCCGGTCTTATGAAGAAGTAAAAAATTGGATCGATTCGTGGATAGCCTCAAAAGATGACCAGTTTTTTCGACGCGGGATTACGCCCGAAAGATGGGAGAAAGTAGTGGCCAGCGATGGACAATACTTCGAATCATAAATGTATAACCAGTTTTTTACAATAAAGCTTCGAATTTCGGAAAAAAAACGGCGGAAGCAAAGTTGTACACCTAATAATTTATTTTCTCGATATAATTTGCCTTTTTCATAATGAAAAATATCAAGTTGGCGTTTATCAAATGAACTATTTTTGCTTTTACGTCCCTTTTCACTGTTAACTTGTGTGATCTTGGGGAAATTAGATTAACTCAAATAAATCACATATTTTATATGACTTATTTCACGGTAAACAAGTAAGGAATAAACTGACTTGATTTCCGAGAGTCAGTAAATATAAAGTATATTGAGTATCCGAATATTTTTGCGATTCTAAAATTAATTTATTTAATATTTTTTACATCTATATATATAATATATA